ATAGCGATTAGCACATGAGGGAATATAAAAAGGGCGCGAGGTGGTTGTTCAATTCGTTGGAAGGTCCTGGTTTCAATGGTATAAGTTTCATGGCTTGATTTTTCCATATATGCAAAACCCCAATTTGAGGTTTCTGAAACCCTAACCCACGTTCATGGTGAATTCGTGTTCAGACAGCTATTCTTCAATTGAGTAATACCATTAGCTTCAGAAGGTCATGGTTAGCATAAATCAACAATTTAAATGCATGAAAAATGTCCAGAAATCAAAACACGATTATGCATAATTTTGAAAGGGAAGCAACTCTGTTCTACCAATTCTTTGTGCGTGGAGAGTGGAAGAGGATCGAGACACGTTCAAGAAAGTCCCAGCAAGCCTTTGGAATGGATTGTAGGCTTTGAATCACACTGGATCTATGTTTTCAGTTTCAACTTTTTTTGTGAAAAATGCAAGTTTTGTTCTTAGGCTTGAGGCGCAACTTTCTTGTTCTTAGCATTAGGTTGGTGTTATGCTTATGTATGTGAATGATTTAGGTTAGAAAAACTGGCCCAAAATCCATGTATTCAATGCTTTTGAATTTGTGATTTTCCATGATCTTTTTCAAATCTCTTTGCCATGAAAACTTGCCTATTTGCATAGAATCTTTCCTTTTTGATTGTGCACGAAATATTGAGGTCATGATGGATGAAAATGCTGCATAAAAAGATTTGAAAGGTGGCATTTGATATTTTTGTCATATTTAATTTTAATTAAGTGAATTAATAATAATAAAAATTCAAATAATTAATAAAAAATGATGAAATAACTCCCTTGGATGTCAATGGGTCGTGCATAGCCTTTGGGTGATGATTCATGGAAGAAATTATGGCCCATTAGCAATTTTGAGGCATTTGCAGCAAAGTTGACTTTTCAAAATTCCCAAACATTTCCCAACTTCCACAAGGCATATCTTGCTCAATTTTTAAGATTTGATCATGTTCTTGGAAATTTTGGAAAGTTCTTGAAGTCCTCTAACCAATTCCTTTGGTCCCATGTCATTTTGATTTACCAATCTCAAGTTATGGTCTTTGACTTAAAGTGCCTTTTTGTTGACTTTTGAAAATGACCTATAATGTTGAGATTGATAACTTTTTGTGAGAGCATTTCTTAGACTTGAAGTGTGAAGAGGAGTTGTAGGAAATTTCATTCTCTTCAAAATGAGCTTTAGATGGAATTTTTCTGATAAACCATGTGGAAGTTATGCCCTGGTCAATTTGCAGTTGACTTTTTCAACTGTCCAAAAATAGAAACTTTTGCATCTTGAGACTTTTTGAGCCATGCCTTGAGAATCATGATCAAGAATTGATCAAATGATGTTTTTGGCTTCAAAATAAGATGTTGAACAAAAATTTGGACTTTTGACTGTCAAATGACCATTTTGCCCCTGCAGTTGACTGTGAAGCAATTAGGGTTTTTGACTGTGCAATTTTGTGCTGTAAGTCTTGAAACTTGGCATAAGGATGCTTGACAATGTTTATAGGCATGTGGGACTTGTTTGGACCCTTGGAAACTTCAACTTCTTTGCCAGAACCAAAACCCTAATTTTTGACTGTTAGGAGACCATTGGACTGTGCAACTCTTGGGAGATTTTGAAGCATGCTCTTTGCAAAACTTGAAGAATATGGGAGGGAAAATTTTGGGGTACAACAGTTGCCCCTGTTCAATCTTCTTAGACCTGAGGATGTAGATTGGCTGGCGTGCCTTTCGTAATCCGAAGGTGGAAGATGATTGAACACTAGAGTGCCCAGAAATTTGCGCTCACATGTTAGCAGTGTGATGTGAGGAATGGGCTTACAGTTGCCATTTGGAGATTGACGGATAGGAAGATGGGCTTACAGATGCCATGTTGAGAGGTGATGGATAGGTGAATGGGCTTATAGATGCCATCTGGGTGTTGATTGCGTAAGAGTTTCCTTAGCGAGAACTTGCGTACCTCTTCAGACGTGCCCTGGCGAGATACAAGAATCGAGTCTGGAGCTTCAAAAGGCGATGAATGAATCAGGGATGGTTACTACCTCAACGGGACGATGAGAGAACCTTGGACGATTACTACCTCAACAATAACGATGAGAGAACCTGGGGCGATTACTACCTCAACAGTAACGATGAGAGAATCTTGGGTGATTACTACCTCAACAGTAACGATGAGAGAACCTTGGATGTCTTCTACTGAGTCTTCATCGGGAAAATCTTTAGGAATCAATTTAACTGGACCAGAGAAGGCCTTTGACTGGATCGGCATCAGAAAAATCTTTAGGAGTCGATTTAACTGAACCAGGCAAGGTCTTGGAATCTTCAACTGGAATAAGAATCAGGGAGATCTTAGCGCCGATCTGACTGAACCAGAGAAGGCCTTTGACTGGATCGGCATCAGAAAAATCTTTAGGAGTCGATTTAACTGAACAGGCAAGGTCTTGGAATCTTCAACTGGAATAAGAATCAGGGAGATCTTAGGGTCGATCTGACTGAACCAGAGAAGGCCTTTGACTGGATCGGCATCAGAAAAAATCTTTAGGAGTTGATTTAACTAAACCAGGCAAGGTCTTGGAATCTTCAACTGGAATAAGAATCAGGGAGATCTTAGCGTCGATCTGACTGAATCAGAGAAGGCCTTTGACTGGATCGGCATCAGAAAAATCTTTAGGAGTCGATTTAACTGAACCAGGCAAGGTCTTGGAATCTTCAACTGGAATAAGAATCACGGAGATCTTAGCGTCGATATGACTGAACCAGAGAAGGCCTTTGACTGGATCAGCATCAGAAAAATCTTTAGGAGTCGATTTAACTGAACCAGGCAAGGTCTTGGAATCTTCAACTGGAATAAGAATCAGGGAGATCTTAGCATCGATCTGACTGAACCAGAGAATGCCTTTGACTGGATCGGCATCACAAAAATCTTTAGGAGTCGATTTAACTGAACCAGGCAAGGTCTTGGAATCTTCAACTGGAAGAAGAATCAGGGAGATCTTAGCGTCGATCTGAATGAACCAGAGAAGGCCTTTGACTGGATCGGCATCAGAAAAAATAGTTAGGAGTCAATTTAACTGAACCAGGCAAGGTCTTGGAATCTTTAACTGGAATAAGAATCAGGGAGATCTTAGGGTCGATCTGACTGAACCAAAGAAGGTCTTGGATTAACTTTGACTGGATAAGAATCAGAAAAATCTTAGAATCGATTTAACTGAACCGGACTAAAGTCTTGGAATATCTTTGACTGGATAAGAATCAGAAAAATCTTAAGGTCGATTTAACTGAACCAGACGAAAGTCTTGGATTAACTTCAACTGGATCGGCATCAGAAAAATCTTTAGGAATCGATTTAACTGAACCAGAGGAAGTCTTGGACATAGCTGAGAACTTAACTGGATCTTTCCTGAAAGGTAAAGGTCAGTCATATGCAATGCATGATATGAATCAAGCAACGATGTTCTCAACACATGAGATTGTATGATATGATACGTATATGCATGTATCATGATGTATAACAATGTGATGTTATGAATGTATCTTCGTCTGGGAAAATAGATCCTTGACGGATGTCGGGAAGTCAAATCCTGGGCTGATGTTGAAGAGTGAGATTCTTCGTTTCCATTGGGGATGATGATTGCAAGAATACCGGTAGGAGAAGATGACTCCGTTGGGGAATAAACTTGGCGAATAGATTACTCTGCGGGGAAAGAGAGGTACTTTGCTGAGGTTGATGAGGATAACTCCGCTGGGGATACCGTTGTTGTGCTCTGTTGGAAGTTTTGATGAACTCCGCTGGGGAATAAGAAGAACTTTGTCGAGGACGATCTTTCCGTGGCTTTGTTCCACTCCGATCGGTGACTGTCGTAACTTCACCATTAATCTCCTTCTCCGATAAAACCTCGCGTGGTCTCCGTCTTCTCAATATCATCACCTTCGTTCTTACTTCGATCTCCCTTCTCCTCTAGACTTCCACATCCTTCCCCGATTTTCAACGAACAACAACTCTCCAGAAAAAAACAAGAAATCCTGCCACACTTTCTACACGGAGGTGCTAAAAGGAAAGAGCAAAATAACGAAGGGGATAAGATGACGGTGTTTACCTACCGGAGAGGTCGGTGTTCTTTAAGGATGATGAAGATGAACAGAAATCTGGTAGTCCTGGTGTATTCAGGTTTGAATCTCTCAACTCATATGCGTGACCTTTTCCTCTCAATCTTCTTCTTCTATGAATCGACCGTTCTGCACCGTGATCTATTTGCTGGTGCGTGTTGTGGCGTGATGCACTGTTGTTCTTTGAGCCGAGCGCGATTTGTTTTGAAATCGTTGAGGATGATGCTGATGATGTACAAAGTTTTTCTAAATTCTCGTTGAAGTCTTTGAAGAAGATGATGAGAGTTCAGAAAAAATTGAGAACGAATGATGGAGAGGGACGAAGTTATTTTGAAGCTGATAAAATGGTGAAGTTTTGAAACTGGAAAAGAGAGAGAGTAACGTCGTCCTGAAACTTGGAGGGATTTTGGATTATATAGGTAGTTGAGGGAGATGGAAATGGTTATGTGAGAATCAATCCAAACCATTGATTTGGGTAGAGTTTGTTAGGGATTGAAGGGTGAGATTGAGAGTCTGTTAAAAGGTGGTTATGCTAATTGGGCATTCTGTTTAGAAAATTTTGTTGTGTATTGTTAAAACAGTTGGGATTTTATGTTGAAGTTTGTTATGGAGATTGTTAGTAAGTTGTTGGAATTTGGTTATGGGAATTAGTAATTCAGTTTGTAGGTTAATTTTGGAATAGGCTATTTAGAATTCTGTTTAGAAAATTCTGTTATGTATGTTGGTAGAAGCGATGATGTGGATCGTCTTGCACAGGAACAGCTACGTCAGCTGAATTGTTTGAAGCGCTTCCATCAAATGAAGGCATGCCCATTGATGACATATCATGCGTGATGTGAAACATCGGATTCAATCTAGTAATTATTTTGACTGTCTCTTTCTCATCCGGCCAGTTCTTTAACTTTTTCTGCAGTATTAATCACCTCATGTACTCGTTCTTTTGGAAGCCAGGACTTCTTTGATTTCCACTCTTCTACAATCTGTTTCAGCTCAATAAGGTATTTGTGGGCATGCTCAACTGCTGTTGGTCGAGCTGTAAGCTCTTTTAACCTGAAAAAAATTGGATCTCCAATAGCTTTCAACTGATCTAGATGCTCTTCAAACTCTGTGGCGTTGGCATCTTCACCATCTGTATATAACCAATCTTGCACCTCATCAAGCTTCTCAACAAAGGACTTGCGTTCCTCACTCGTAGATCCTTTTTCAAACTCCTCAAGAGTTTCAATCTTTTCCTTAGTAGTGTATATATATCCTTCTAAATTATTTTTAGACTCGGCTGTCCTTTTCCTTTCTACGTCCTTTTTGTCTAGTGCTTGTAATTTTGTTTTAGCTTCAGCAAGAAACTCTTTCGATAGAGACATCCCTGCTACTGTAATCTTCTCAACAATCTTTAATGGTACCCTAAAGGTCCACTTTTTCAGCTTTTTCTCTGTAGCAGGTTCAGCAGCAGCTTGCTCTTCAGCACTCGTGTTAGATGTCTTATTAATACAACTATCACTTTGCACACTTTCACTGCTTTCCTCGGAATTGTTACTGGCACTAGATTCATCTGATACATTTGACGAAATAGTAGAATTCTCTATGGTCAAGTTCTTCTAGGGAACTTCCACCCACTCTGTTATTTCAACAACAGCGTCTGCCCGATCCAGAGAAAGAACTCCGCTTCTACTAAGAGAGAAATGTACAATTGCCTTAATGGGGGATGATAGATTCCGAGACGAATATTTCCCACTTGCATCTGCTAAACCAGATATCTGGTATTGAGCATTTAAGGGAGAGGTAACACCAGGTGGCAAAAGATGTTTACTTTCATAAGCTAGAGAAACTTCAAAATCTTTGTCATGAATAATGGATCTGAACATCTTACTCGGAAGTTTCTTCATTTTAGGTACAAGTAACTGCCTAGAACATTCACTTTTCGGAAGATCGGCACCACTCAATTCAATCACAAACTCGTATAAGGAACCATCAACCATACCTAGTTTTCGGTTTAATTTGATACCATCACTTATATTTGCAGCATGCAGAGCAGCACCAAGAACTATTGCTTCATCAGCATCAAGATGCCAATCAAGTTCTTTTCTACCAAGGAACTCTTGAAGCTTAGCCTGTAACTTTGGCACTCTGGTAGCACCTCCAATTAACTCCACTGCATATATTTGATCTGCTGACAAGCCTGAATGCTCAAGCAACTCTTTCATACAAATCACGAGGCCAATTCCTCTTTACATTATTTGCAATAAAACTGGAAATCTTAGCCCTCAAGGCACGAAGCGATCAATCAGAGTCTGCCACATTGTCCAGACAAGTCAGAGCAACCTTCAAGAGGTCTGGTATACAAGCTTGGACACGAGGAGATAAATATTCAAACACATCAACAGAAGTATCGGGTCATCGAGGATCTAGAGGCAAAAATGGAAGTTTAGAAACCTCCCTTAAAGCATCAATGTGATTCCCAAGTCTTGACAATTTGTGAATTGATAATATTGACTCAAGTTGTCTTAACACAGTTCTCTGCTCAAAAACATGCCCTCGCTCTTGAACACTGACATCTGGGTAGTAAGTATATGTCTCCAAAATCTCATTACCAGTATCGATAAGGCCAGTGGTCTGGCTCTCACCATCCAACCTTTCATGGAAAAGAGAACAAATAGCTTCAAAGAGGCACTTATTGATGGTATCCAGCGCCATTGAGAAGGAACCCACTCTCTTTTGAATTTCTATAGATTTGTCATACATCCCAGCCTCCTGACACTGGCATGCTGCGTCAATCAAAAACGGTTTCCTTGCATTTGGATCCGCCACAAAACGTCCTAACTCTCCTCTTCTCCAGCACCTCTTGCGCCAAGCAATAGATATATGCCTCCATCCCTTAACAATAATTCAGTTAGAAGATGCTTCAGTATCAAGTTTCTCTGCCTTTGTTGATCAACATTACCTCTACCAGTCCATGACAACTGCCCACCACCAACCGCAGCAGCAGCTTGTGCATAATATTCTAGTTCCATCTGGAGATCACCAAGGCGCAAATACATAGATCCATATTTCCTGACAATGGTGGCTACTTCTGCATAAGCATCCATCGCTCCCAACTTTTTCCCAGTACCGACCCCTTCAGAAAGGACCCCGTGATCAGCTAGCATAATTGATAGGTGGGCAGCATCAATATTATATCCTTCATCTCATGTTTCCTTAGACAGGTATAATACAGCCGGAAGCAATTAAATGCTTAAAAGCAAGATATAAGGATATACCAGAGGATCTTTTTCCATTTTTTGTATAGTACGATGGTTCAAATTTATTCAGGTAACTTTGCAAATCATCCAAAGTGTATGGAATCACACTGTCACTTAGAACAAGGGATGAAGATCCGCTTGGGCAGTCCCGCACAGCCGAAAATTTGAACCACAAGAAATCATCTATCGAACTAAACAGAGTCTGTTGATCTCTAAGCAGGCAATCCATATGTCTTCGAGAACCTGATATGATGGCATGATTGCTTGCATTGACTTGGATTTTTTTGTATGAATGTGCATGTCATGAACTGAAGATGAAGAACTTTGGCATGGCATGGAATTGGAAGTTTACTCATGGAATTTTAGCAACTTTAGGACTAAAGAATTTTGTTCAAGTGTATTTTGTAACCGTTTTCTTTTCTTTGTAGAATATTGGTGTAATGGGATTGTAATGATTTTATAATGAATGTTTGGTTTGGATGAATTTGAAATTTATAGTGTGAATTGTAAATGACCTTTGAGCTTGAAATGTTGGGTGATGAATTTTAAGGACGGGGTTTAAATGACAAAGTCTTGAAAAAAATGCTTGAAGACATGAAAGCATCAAATTTTCTTGTAAGGTATTGTTACACTTGAATGAAATTGAATGGAATTGGATAGTATTTTTTTGAATCATGAATGAAAGGGTTCGAATAAACTTTGAACACATGTGAACTTGAATCTGGAATAACGATGAACATCTTTGTAATGTGTATGAACTCCGACTTGAAACAAAACCTCGCAGTCTGTACTTTACCTTCCAAGAAACCCATATGACCAATACTTAAGGCTATTTGCCGACTTTAATCCAACCAAACACTTTTGAACATCTTGAACTCAAATCAAACTTCAAATCCAAATCACACTTGCATTCTCAATGAACTCCTAACTTCAATCTTGAACCCAAATCAACTTGAAATGACAAATAATTTGAATAGTCAATAATATCTTGATCAGATGGATGATAAAGTCTGAATCACAGAAGAATTCCCTTGATGTAAAACCCTTACAATCTTGATTCCTCGTTTAGACGCACAGAGAAATATCCGGACAAAACATCTTTGAACCATGATTCATCAAAACCTAAATTGATTAACTGAGGAGTAGATGATTGTCATGTCACAGTCATTAATCCTAATCAAATGACAAACATACTTATAGGAAAGGACGCCATGATTCGAAGCCCACATATGTTAGGTCACGTCCTAGAGTTCTTGACCAGAATGACCTACAATCGGTTGTTTATTAGAAGATATTATCCATGTAACTTGGTGGAGGAGAAGTCCAAAAATGATCCTAAAAAAAACCTAATTCCAAAGCTTGCTGCATGAATAAGAAATCATCCTTTATTGGATACGAGCACCTTAACCACTGTGAAACCCTAGTATCGCACAACCACTGAACTTTGAACCTCAGAGCTATATTGAATGAAATGTATGCCATATTAGTGACCTAATGAAATAGATGCAGATGAATGCAAAAAGTCTAAGCCAAAGTAAAAGAAATTAGGAGGGCAAATTTTGGGGTGCAACAGCTGCCCCTATTTAATCGCCTTAGACCTGAAGGTGAGATTGACGCCAGCCTTTCGAACCTTCAAGGTAAAAGAAGATTAAATACTAAAAGAACCCGAAAATTTGCGCTCTGAAGCCTGTCAGGTATTATTATATCTTTGGTTTTCCGTATTTTCCATATTTTTTTTAGGTAAAAAGGATTATCAGGGTTAGATGTATGTTTAACCAGAGTTTGACACACCGAAGGATAACTTGGTTATCGAGGAACTCTTGTTGGGATTTAGTAACAAACACCTGTAAGAAAAATATCAAAAGGTATATGCCTGAAGTCTGTAGCAGACATACGAAAAAAAAGTATCAAAGACACATATCTGGGGTTGGTAGCGGATATACAAGAAAGAGACATCAAAAATACATATCCGTGGTTGGTATCGGACACGTAAGAAAGAGATAGAAAAGATACATATTTGTGGTCGGTATCAGATACGTAAGAAAGAGATAGAAAAGATACATATCCGTGGTCGGTATCGGATACGCACAAAAGAGACATCAAAGATACATATTTGTGGTCGGTATCAGATACGCACAAAAGAGACATCAAAGATACATATCCGTGGTCGGTATCGGATACGTACGAAAGAGACATCAAAGATACATATCCGTGGTCGGTGTCGGATACGTACGAAAGAGACATCAAAGATACATATCTGTGGTCGGTATCGGATACGTACGAAAGATATAGAAAAGATACATATCTGCGGTTGGTATCGGATACGCACAAAAGAGACATCAAAGATACATATCCGTGGTCGGTATCGGATACGTACGAAAGAGACATCAAAGATACATATCCGTGGTCGGTATCAGACACGTAAGAAAGAGATAGAAAATATACATATCTGTGGTCGGTATCGGATACGTAAGAAAGAGATAGAAAAGATATATATCTGTGGTCGGTATCGGATACATACGAAAGAGATAGAAAAGATACATATCCGTGGTCGGTATCGGATACGTAAGAAAGAGATAGAAAAGATACATATTTGTGGTCGGTATCGGATACGTAAGAAAGAGATAGAAAAGATACATATCCGTGGTCGGTATCGGATACATACGAAAGAGACGTCAAAGGTACAAGAACATATGTCTGGGATTGGTAACAGACATATAAAACAGGTATCAAAAATACATATCTGTGGTCGGTATCGGATACGTAAGAAGGAGACAGACCGAAGAAAGCTCTTACAAAGAAAACACCAATCGAAGGTGAACTTACTGAGGGAAGAGACCAAACAAATGGGACTCCTGACAAATGATACCAGTCGACGATGGATTTTAACAAATGATACCAGCCGAAGCGGGGTTTTGAAAGATACCTGCCGGAGCGGGGTTTTTTGAGAAATACCAGCCGAAGCGAGATTTTGAAAGATACCAGCCAAAGCGGGATTTTGAAAGATACCAGCCGAAGCGGGATTTTAAAGGATGCCAGCCGAATATGGACTTTAAAGGGTGCCATCCGAAGGTGTACTTTAGGATAAAGAAACCAGCCGAAGGGGAATCTTCATCCAGGAATACTATGCCGAAGGTAGATTCCTAAGAAAAGAACGTCGGTCGAAGGCGAACTTACAACTGCAGAGAGACCAGCCGAAGGGGACTCTTAACAAACGGTACCAGCCGAAGATGGATTTTAAAGGATTCCAGCCGAAGGTGGACTTTAGGATAAAGAAACCAGCCGAAGGGGAATCTTCATCCAGGAATACTATGCCGAAGGTAGATTCCTAATAAGAGAACATCGGTCGAAGGCGAACTTACAACTGCAAAGAGACCAGCCGAAGGGGACTCTCAACAAATGATAAAGGTATGCATATCTGGTCAGAGTTAGATACACAAGAGCGAAATTGATCATCAAGAAACAAATGTTTAGAATTTCTAGCGAACACAGGAACGAGACTAACCAAAGAAAGCCCCAATAAAAAAGGACGCATTCGCCTAAACAAGGGCGCCAGACAACTGGACTTTGAAGAGACATTGAAAGACTCCTAATCATAAAAAGTTAGCTAGACTAACGAAAGGAGGACCCGACTAACGTGGATAAACCAAAACAAGGAACCGACTAAGCAGGACCTTCAAAGAGCACCGATCGAAGGTGAACTCTGCAAGAGAAAGGGAATGGTCAAAGCAGACTTTAAC